TTTGATCTTTTGTTTCACTGTGATGGTAAAGAGAATGAGATTGAAAACAAGTTGTGAAGAGAGTAAGAGATATGCAAAACCACATGAGATTAGAGATATGTAAAACTCAAAAAGCTCTTCAAACACTCTAATCCAAGTCCGCTTCTAATCTGATAGACTATGTATATACACAATCTGGAAGCCATTTACAATTGCCTCGTGCTTAACGTAACTATAACAAACTGAAAACCAAATCAAAATGTCATGCTAATAGAAAGCCAAGCCTTTTTTCCTCAAAGGAATATTCTATTTCTGGAACCAATTCACCTCCAAAAGGTGCTGGAGTCATGGCCATATTCATAGGAATTGGCACAGTCATTGGTGTAGAATGGGAGGAAGGAATAGGCATTGCCTTTGGAGTTCTACTCTCTTCATCTACCACTGTGTCTGTCTTTGAGGTACTAGTGAATGGAAAATTGTTAATTGCTAATGTTTCCTGCAACTTAAGCTTCTGCATATTTAATTCAACTGAGGCACTTTCCACATTCTCTTGTGATGATACTGTCGAAGAGATGGTTGTAAAGGGTTGTCGCGTCAAAGGAGATTCGATATCCCGAACAATTCCGGTACCAAATGTGTATTTTCTCTTAGGAATATCAGCAATATCAAGTCCTCTTCTAGCTGTATGAACACAAGGAAAACAAACACTAGTAAGAGATTTAAATGCATGCATATGGTACATGAAAATTGTTAGTACAAACGATTATTAATCATGTGTGATGTTAGTGCGAATTATGTGAAACACAAACATAAGAAAATGCTAGATATACCAGCAAGAAATTACGGGGAAATCTATCAGCTGAGATGTGGCTTTGACCTCCACCTCCAACATCAAACCAAAAAAAAAGTCTAAACCGTTCCGTGGTGCCACATACAGCCTTACAATAAAACCATCAAGAGTACTTGGGAGAATCCGGTGGAGAACCTTCTTCTTCTAAAACAAAGGAAAAGATAAACAGGTATCCAACAATCTGAGGTTGTATTTTAAATGACACAAGTTGAATCATAACTGCAGGAGAATCATCTTCTAAATCCAAGGAAATCATATATTCATTCAACAGTTAGAGGTTGTCGTTAGATTTAAATTTAATGCATAACCATACTGATGGAGGCTTCTTATGTCATTGGTTTAATTATAATTTAATAATTGAAAATTAAAATTTATTATAATTTAATTTTGATTTTTTAATTTTTTAAATAGAATTATTTATAATATTATTAAATAATATTATAAATATTAATTAATAATTTTTTATTTTGTATCCTAGTCATCATTTTCATTTCATTAAAAATAATTTTTTTATCTTAATCATCACTACCACACATATGCAAAAGTGGAGGAGGACCAACAAAATCTCAAGAGAAGTAAAGTTAAGGGACCAAAAAACTAAGTTTTAAAATATGGGGACAAAAAGTTAAAAAATACTAAAATAGGGGATTCTGTTGTTTGGAGTCAAGAATAAGGTTGTTTTTTTATAAGCAAAAGATAGCATTAGTGGTATCTGACCAATGTAGTCAAGCACGAGATCTTAAGCAGGATCAGCCGGCTTGTAACAGATCGTAAAACTCGGATTTAGCACCATAGTTAAGATCCTACCGAAGGGAAAATGATAATTTCATGAAAATTATAATACAGGCCCCCCCAAAAAAAGCCCCAGCACATTCTTTTTAGAATCTTGCTTCAAAAATGATCTTTCTCTGATCGTAACACTCTCAGGCATCCTTAGCACGTACGATCTTATGATAAAAATCTCGATCTTGACTACATTGTATCTGACAATAATGAAATAGCCCTTATCCTCAAAGGGATAAAAGAGAGAGACATGGGAAAAATACCACAGAAGAAAAGAAAAAATACATTTACATTTATCTTAGCATGATCTGCACCTAGATAACCTATCATTCTACCACATCCAAAACAACCACCTAATCAATTGAGCCAAAACTAAAAGAAAATAATTCTTAAGAGATTTGCATGATCCGTATTCTTTCCTTTCAACCAAACAAGATAAACAACAGTTAAACCCTTACCGAGTGAGAAATCTCCAAGCCAGGGATGCAAATAAAAACCAAAAACAAAAACGGGGTAAAGTCTAAAAAAAACTACCTGATGATAAACATGACATGCTATCGTCTAGGTCATTTGTTTGCTCAATTTGATGCATTCTGTTAGTCTTCTTTATGGAGCTTGAGTGAGTAAGTTTTGAGTCAGGTTTTAGCGTTGATCCTCCAAAGGTGACTCTTCTACTAGCCGCACTTCCATTTGGCGTCCTAGGTGCTTTTCTTGCACTAAGAGCCTTTGAAGGGCTTTTTGATCCATACAATACTTCCTGTTCTGCTATTATTTGTCCCTGAAGTTTCTTCAGGTCCTGAAGCATAAATGTAAAACTTTAACAAGTGCCGGAAAAAAAAAAATACATATCATTATGTTTAGGAATCGCAGATCAATGAAATACTGCCTGGACTAATTTTGGAGAAACATATAAATGCAATGACTGTTTCCTACCCGCTGTCTGCGGCGTTCTTGCTCCTTAGCTTGCCGTAATAAGATGTAGTCTTCAAGCATAGAAGTTAGACGGACCTAGATAGCCACACACGACAAAATTTGTTACTTGAGCAACCAATAGATGCTAAGGTGGAATGCGATAATTTCTTATGAGCCTATCTCATTGAATCTATATCTCTTAGAGGGTGTACTTACACCATCATATATGAACTCAGTTCCTTTATCTTTTTCCCATGCTACTGTTTTTGAAGTCAATGTGTCTGTCATTGCTATAGGAAAACAAAAGAAAATCAAAAGACGTTCTGAAATAATAAAGAAACATGATATCTGCAAACATAATGCATAATGAAAATTCATTTTACACTAAACAGACAATGGGACACAGAAAAAGCAAAGTTGTGTTAATAATAATATATAATATATTAAGCCATAATGGCATTAACCAAGACAACAAACACAACCAATGATTATAGGTCTTAAAGTACCTGGAATTTTGTTCACCAAGACACGTGCTTTTTCAGCTCGCTTGAGATTAAGATGAGTACCTTTACCAGCATTGTATCGATTTTCATCCTAGAAGAAAGTGCGTGGAAAAACTTAATAAACTATGAGATGATAAATATGGGAGTGGAGTTCCACTTTGCCAACCGAACCGTTTGAAAACATCATTCAATCAATCATATGTAAGCTACAGAAACGAATATACGAAGAAACTTTAAAAAGATTAAAAAAAAAAAAAAAAACTAACCCTACTGTACTCCTCAAGCCAAGCCCTCTTCGTCACATGCTGACACCCATTTCTCCACCTTTTCAAGTATCTCTATTCTACTAAACGCTTGTTCTTTGGTTTGGGCAATCTGAAGTTCAATTTGTTCAAGTACACAAGCAAGGTCTACAGATCCTGCATGAGAAAGGCGAAAGGAGGATGCAGAGGCTTAGGAGTTTAAAGAAGAACGAAAGATTGACAATCATTTAGTGGTATGGTATCTCTCTTAGAACTTACCAGACTCTATTGCTTCAATAGCATGTTCTACCGCACCGTCAAATTCAGGAACCAAATGAGTCTTTCTACAAATCTCCTCTAGCTCCGCTCTTTTCTTGAAAACAAGCTCTTTCATTTTGCTTGATTTTAAGTCCTCTAATCTAGATACTTCTGCCTCCACCTGCATGAAGTTATTACTTCTCCGGAAATTTTGAGCCATATAAACAAAGAAAACTATTCCCTTTCTCCAATAGCTTATAACTCACATGATTAATAAAGTCCTCGGACAAGCTGTTTGATTCAGTAACTTCATCTTCTGAAGCTGCAATGTTACAAGTTACATTCTGAAACACCTGTTGCTCTTCAATAGGCGTATCCATCAAATGCCAGAGCTCCAACATTGATGTTGCTAGATCTTGAAGCTGCCGTACCATAAGCAATTATGAGTTTCAATCAGAGGAAAAGATATGAAATGAAATTATAAACAAAGTTATGTTTCACACCTTTTGCATTCTGTGCAATTTCACTCCTCGAAGTTCTTGTGTAGCTAAAGCCAATTGGCTGATGGTATCATTATTTACACTCTTAGATCCTTCTGAATGTCCTAAACTAGGATGGACTTCGCTGACTGTCTGCGTAAAGTCTAAACCAAGTACTGAACAGAGAGACCTTAAACTGCACAGGTTGTCTTGGACCTTCTGGAGACGATCACTCTGTTAAAAATAAAAAATACTAGCATTAAGTAATAAAGAGAACTAAATATGATAATTTGGGTTCATAAACCATATAAATGTTTAAGTTCATATAACTATAAATCATTAACCTTCTCCTTTTGAAGTGTATGGAGTTGTCTGTGCAATTCTTCAAGTTTCCTCAACGATAAATCTGTTTCATCTACAATGAATGGGACAATTTCTCTTGGACCATAAATCTCATTTGAGACACTTTGAATCTGCTCTTGGACATCTATGAATTGATTTCTACGCTCAAGCTTTCTTTTTTGCATTTCTTCCAGCTCAGGGAGAATGACTGCTAGCTCTTCCTTCAAACTTGTAGCCTTATGATCAGACTACAAAATGACAGACATTAAAGAACCAATTTTTTTCATAGCTGACAAAAACAAAAACAAAACTATTTTTTACAATAATACTATTTCTCTCTATTCAACATTTTCATTTCACTGAAAATAATTTAGATGCAAATTTGTGTATAAGCTCTTATCAATGCTAGAAATTTGATACAATCATTCCAAATTATGTCACACAAATATGAAATTAAACACTATTTTATTTAACTCAATGTTTTCCCCGTCATGAATAAGCAGTATACATAAATGCCTTAAACTGTTTTCTCCGTCTTGAATAAGCAGTATATGTACATGCCTTAAAACAGCAATCGGAAAATTGGCAACACGTAATATACCTGTCTAATATGTACTGGTCGCTCTCCCATTGCTGAACAGATAGCTGTAAGTTTTGCCTCAGAATCAGCAATTTCCTGCCTCACTTGAGCTCTGGAGCAATTAGCTTTATCTATGTTTTTTCTGTATACTTCTAGACACTCTTGTTCAAGCTCAAACAACATCCTATCTTTTTCAGACTGAGACTCTCCAACTTCGTGCCATATTGTCTAGTTTTGAAAGACAAACAACAAGAGTTACTCATTTTATCAAATATTCATTAATTGACCTGTGGAGTTTATTTGTACCTGAAGTTCTTGAATAAGTAATCCACATGTTGTTTCAGCTTGCGGAAGAAGATGATCGTTGTGAGGTTGAGACATTTTGGAGCACCTTTATCAACTAAAAAGAAAATTCTCTTAGAACATTCCCCCAAAAAGAAAACAATCAAAGAAAGGGACTAGACAATGTAGTAGTCAAGCACGAGATCTTTAGTAGGATCGGTCGACTTGTGAAAGATCGTAAAAAATGGATCGTTAGCACATCATCTAAGATCCTATCAAAGGGAAAAATGGTAATTGCATACTATATACACACATACACAAAAACATGAAAAAAGCAGCACATTATTTACCAAAAACAATGCAAACATCACAATTCACAAGTTTCAAAAGAATGAAAACAAAATTGAATACGGAAAAGACGAACCTAAACAGAAACAACACCGATTATCATCAATGATGGAAAGAATGTGAAATACACGTAAACATAATTTTCTGAACCAGAATTAGAAACATTTCTTTTTTGCTCGTAAACAAAAGAGGAACCGAAAGAACGAAATATGATAAATTTACCAGTTTTATCGAAGATTGAATGATGAGAGAGAGAGAGAGAGAGAGAGAGAGAGAGAGAGATATTTGGATGGAAGAGAAAGAAAGGTTTTAAGAAATGGAACCGTTGAAGATTTTCTGTTTCCTTTTTTACTGGAACCGTTGAAGAACTCTTGAAGAGCACTTTGGAAGATTTTTATAATTTTAAGATTATTTTCACTCTAGTACTTATTTTAGCTTTCTAATTTAAAAAAAAAAAAAAGGTTTTTATTTTTTCTAATAAATCTTTTTTCTGTTTTTTTGGTTTTTTTTTGTTTACTTATGGAATTACAATGTATGGATTTAAAGTTTATTCGACCGTTTTGTATTTAAATTTTAAATACTTGTTTTGAGTAAGATTATGCTAGAAACAAAGGGACAAAAATTACAATTGTAGCCATATTTAAAATCTTGACACTTGTATTTGGTACAAGAGATGGCATGGATGGCTGAAATATTGGAAATACAGGCCGGAATAGCCTCTATTTTCTGATTTCTTGTATTACCTTTGAACTGATATAATTTTATCTATTATTGATAAGAAGAAAAAAACTTTGGTTTATTATTGATTTTTGTGTGTGCTGAATGGTGACAAAGAAATGCAGTATGTACTTGTGCATTATGTAGTAATAAAACTTAATATTTCTATTCACATCTAAAAATAAATAAAAAAATCTTGACACTTGTATAATTTTTATACATTTTAAAGAGAAATACAAGGAGAAAGAAACAATAATTAATCTCACATTCAAACGCTACTCTTTATAAAAGATTTAAATTTAATATTGAGGTTCAATCTTTTTTATCTTTATAAAAGATTTAAATTTAATATTGAGGTTCAATCTTTTTTAAGAGTAATTTAAAACACCATATCTCAATAGTTATACTTCTTCTGTCCCAAATTATAAGAGAAATTTACTTTTTAGATTCATTGAATAATTAATGTAATTATTCAATGAATCTAAAAAGTAAATTTCTCTTATAATTTAGGACAGAGTATATTGAGAAGTTGCAAATATAATAATCACAATAAATTTATGTATATTCTCAAGTTAGATTCAACTTATGTGATAGAGTAAGTTTGTCGAAGTTAATTCAATCAAGCATTGTGAATTTGGTAAGGATAAGAAAATATATAATAGGGTAGTTGTAGTAACACATTTGTGAATGGCTCACTCGGGTGAGAAAGCCACATCGCCAACAAAGGCCGATAGAGTCTTATCGCTCAATAGGGGTATAATCTTGCTTGAGACACTCTGCACTCTCCCAGTATAACGAAACATGGAAAATGACATGTCTTGGTTAGAGAGAATCTAAAAATAGAGTCAAGAGACTAAATCATGTCTTTCTAGGCAAAGTTGTCCCTATAATTTAGAGTCTCTGTTAATTTAAAAAATTGGCCCCAATAAAAAGAAAGGTGGAGAAATAATCTTGGCTGCAGGTCCATAGGCCTCTATAAATACATTATTCCTATGATGCAAAAGAGATCATTATGAATACACCATGAAATACCTCATAAATACAGAGTTTCTCACGTTATGGGAGTTTGCTCTCTCCACACTGAAATAACCTTCGAAATAGAGCCTCTGCCCACCGTGAGTTTGCCATAAACCACTGAAAATCCTTAAAGCATCTAGCCACCCCTACCATCATAGGGGTGCCACCGCGGGGCCACAACAAAATTAACATGGGCCACACCTTCCATTACCACCACTATTTTCATCACTTTCTCCAAAAAATGGTTTAAAATATCTAAGCGTCATGATTAACACCATTGTCGTAGGTTTCGTCGGCGGGGAAAATATGATTCCTCCCTAAGGAAATACGCTAGGCAAGTGCTGATTGTAAACGTAATATCCCTAAGACTCTCCAAAGCAAAGCGGGGAAGACCAGGGGCCAACATCACTTTATCTAACAGTGACGCCGTCAGAGTATGCTTTCATGACAACGACGCCCATGGTAATCATTGTGTAATACGATAACTAGGATATCTATTTAGTCGGATAGACATGGGAAGATCAACTGACGTCATATTCTGGAGCACCTTCCAGAAGCTCCAGCTCTATCCGGACAGCATTAATGCGTTCTAAGGTCTACTAGTAGGCTTGTCAAACGAACAAGTACAAGTAAAAGGTCACATAACCCTAGAAACGACATGTGGTAAGGGAGAATATTCTAAGGGGGTTGAAGTTAACTATCTCACCGTTGACGCCTTGTCGTTATATATAGTCATTCTTGATAGGCCAACCATCAACTCCTTAGGGGAGATTATATACTTCACAAATTCTTATTAGGGGTGGATATCTATTAGTTTCTAGATTCTAGAGATAGATTTAGAGCTAATATTCATTATGGATATCGATGCTTAATGCCTCAGTGTTGTTGTTTCACGCGAGACATCATCGAGGTAAGAATATGGTTGTTCTCGTAACTTTGTGTTAGACATTACCTTAATTATGATACATCTCGTAGGTGTTTTAGACATGGACACTGATGTGAGAGATACATGATGATTTTGATGAGTATTTTAGGTTAAGTATAACTGATAGATAGGTTTAAGTTTGTGACGAGTAGTTTAAATTCATGCCTAATAAGTTTCTACTCTCTTAAGAATGAATTTACTTTCTTGTTAATACCTTTTACCTTAAACCAATTTTAACCTAAGCTCATTACCGCGGAAAATGTTGAATGACATTCTTTCCCTTGCATTGATCCTTATGGATACGATAAAATAGGGAATACTTCCAATCTTTTGCTTGTCGATTTACTATGTCAACAAAATGGCACAATTTCTGGGGATTAGTGTTTTAATATTGAATCGCATCACAATAGTTTCTATGGTTTTGAGCTTTGTATATATTGTATATTTTCACTTGTATATTTTTACTTGTCTATATTTGTGTATAAGTTTACATACTTGTATATTTCTGTTTGTGTTTCCACACTTGTTTATGTATTTATTTTTGTTGTGTTCAAGTGTGTGTGTGTGTATGTGTTGTCCATCATGTGTTCAAGTGTTGTTGTAAATTTCCTTATTTTCGTAACGTTTGTTCAAGTGTTTGGTTATGACACTTGTTTTCGAGTTGCTTGTTTAAGAAAAGCATCGGGTGACGTGGGGAAGTTACTAGTTAAGCACAATAAAGGCGTTGAGCTAACGGCATAAAACAAGCACTTGTTGGGAGTCACCCCGATACTTATAAATTTTGTACATTTTGTAGTTGATTTGTGTAGGTGTTAGTAGGGGTTTGGCATGAATTCCGATGCATTTCTGTTTTTTTGTGTTTTCCTGTTGCCGCTAAGCGTGCTTTGCACCCGCTTAGCGCGCTTTGTTGTGTGACAGTGGTATTTTTGTTCATTTGGCCCTTTTTCCCACTCTCACCAAGATTATTTAGAATAGTAAATAATAGTAGTATTTTCTAACATTTTTGTTGGTTCTTTGTCTTCAAACATTGGGCTAATAACTTGAAGAGAGTGTGAGTGATGATTTCAAGTTTGATTGTTTCAACAAAGCATTTATGTGGTAATGATAGTAATTAAAGTTGGTATAATGCAAAGTACTCATTTATCATTTTCTATAGCATAACATGATTAGAAAACTTGTAATTTGTACAATTACCATGTCATTTATTCTTTTGCACTACTTGTTTTTGATTGAATCACTTTAGTTCCCAAAACCCAAATGTGAGGAAGTTTTCTATTGTTCATATATGCAGGAGACTAACATTCTTGTTTTAACTAGGTTTTATTATGTTTAATCTTTTATTTGTGTTGATTGTATGAAAGCATGAAAAAGATCAAGACATTTTGTTTGATTTTGAACACAACCACTTGACAAAAAAGTAACTTACCTTGTGAGTGAGTGAGAATTTGTTAACCTCTTTGAGCCTTTTTGTCAATATCCATGTTGCATTTTAATTATGATACTTGTCCATGAGTATTTAGTTCACTTCTTTTTAAATGGATTTGGATTTTTATTTCTTGAACCCTCAACCATGATTTGTGGTTTGAATCTTTACTTTGCCTTAGAAAGTTAGGAGTATTCACACTATGATGTTTGGTTGAACTCAAGTTGGGGAGAAAAATGGTTGCTTGTTTATTTGTTGGTTGCTTTGAGGTTGAGAAAAGAAAAAGAAAAGAAAGAAAAAAATGTGAAAAATAAAAGAAAAGAAAAAGAAAGAAAAAAGAGAAAAAGCTTTGAAAAAGAAGAAAAATAGAGCAAATAATTGTACTAATAAGTTATGTGTTTGGTGTAACAATTGGGAAAAGAGAAGAAGTGTGACTGAAATTTTGGTGCTTGAGACTTTGTGGATTGATCACCCCCTTAGGATTAGGAAAGTTTTTGTTTCAATTACCTTTAAAAATTGACCATTCCTTATCATCCAAGCCACATTACAACCTTGAAAGCCCTTGTAATTCTTGCTTTTATGTTTTCAATATGAGTTTTTGGATAAATACATAATTTAGTCTTTTGTTTGCAAGATTGTTGGATGAGTGTCAAGTCCCTCATGTTTGTG